CGGTGACTCAGAGATTACTTAGGAAATTCTCGAGAAAGTCCCAGCTTAGCTATAAACCACGATACAAAGTACCAGCCAAAGGTAAACGAAGAAGAAGAAGAAGAAGAAGAAGAAGAAGAAGAAGAAGAAGAAGAAGAAGAAGAAGAAGAAGAAGAAGAAGAAGAAGAAGAAAGAAGAAGAAGAAGAAGAAGAAGAAGAAGAAGAAGAAGAAGAAGAAGAAGAAGAAGAAGAAGAAGAAGAAGAAGAAGAAGAAGAAGAAGAAGAAGACGAAGAAGAAGAAGAAGAAGAAGAAGAAGAAGAAGAAGAAGAAGAAGAAGAAGAAGAAGAAGAAGAAGAAGAAGAAGAAGAAGAAGAAGAGGAAGAAGAAGAAGAAGAAGACGAAGACGAAGAAGACGAAGACGAAGAAGAAGAAGAAGAAGAGGAGGAGGAAGAAGAAGAAAAAGAAGAAGAAGAAGAAGAAGAAGAAGAAGAAGAAGAAGAAGAAGAAGAAGAAGAAGAAGAAGAAGAAGAAGAAGAAGAAGAAGAAGAAGAAGAGGAAGAAGAAGAAGAAGAAGAAGAAGAAGAAGAAGAAGAAGAAGAAGAAGAAAAAGCACTACTACTACTACTACTACTACTACTACTACTACTACTACTACTACTACTACTACTACTACTACTACTGCAACTACTACTATAACTATCGTGACACGCAAACACGGGTAACCATGGTAACCAACAGCACTTATACATAGTGCTATGTTAATTTTTAAAAACATGGCGTTGTAAAGAAAACCAGACGAGTAAAGGAATGTGGACACTACCAAACCAAATTCTGCAAACTGTTGCTGACGTCCAGATCAGAATATGCAGATTTTGTCAATGATGTTGCAACAAGCATCAATATTTATAATAGATGTAGTTCTCTTAATTTTTTTTTTTTAAATCCTTTTTAAGGGAACTAATGCACATTCACGATCGAGCTGCAATGCATAAATATAGATTATTTATAAAAGCAGGCGGCATAATCGTTGAAGATTTACGCAATAAATTTCGTTAACTCGCTGAGAACCAGCCAGTTCTTGCATTACATTAAATCAGAGACAGGAAACGATTTTTTTCCCCCATCTCAAAGCTATTTATATATTTATGGCAAAATTCACGGAACATGTAGACTTATCAACTTAAAAATTAGCCACTTGTTTTTTTGGTCAACAATTTTATAACTCAGTCCTCTCCTTGTGAGATGCAATTTGAGGTCATTTGAAGCCCTACTCTGGCTCTTGCCAGGAGCTGCAATATAGCCCGACCATAAATTTGGTCTAATGGCTGAACGCGGTTTCTGGGACCTCTCCACGGTGATCCTCATCCACATGGTGGCACTTTGTGTCATCGGGTGTTTATCGCTTGTGTTATGTCCTGGTGAGGTAGAAAGTCGGCCAGTCAGTCAGTCAGTCAGCCAGTCAGTCGGTCAAAGATTTAATTACATCAGCTCTAACGTGACGGCTGGAACTGCTCTTCTTTGTTGAAGTGCGCGGTGTTAGCTGGTACTAATGATGATGCTACTCGCAGCTGCTTTCCCCGGGTTTGCGCTGATCAGCTTAGAAGCCAGTACAAATGATTTTGGGGGTTTTATACAGTCCGAGGCCCGTAGGTTCTTCAACCCTGTAAATAAACAATTTATGCACGACTGCTACTCTGTCCCCTTATGTTCTATATAAATGGCGTGGTGCCCCCTTATGTCCTATATAAATGGCGGGGTATCCCCCTTATGTCCTATATAAATGGCGTGGTGCCCCCTTATGTCCTATATAAATGGCGAGGTATCCCCCTTATGTCCTATATTATTGGCGGGGTATCCCCCTTATGTCCTATATAAATGGCGGGGTATCCCCCTTATGTCCTATATAAATGGCGGGGTATCCCCCTTATGTCCTATATAAATGGCGTGGTGCCCCCTTATGTCCTATATAAATGGCGGGGTATCCCCCTTATGTCCTATATAAATGGCGGGGTATCCCCCTTATGTCCTATATAAATGGCGGGGTATCCCTCTTACGTACTATATAAATGGCGGGGTATCCCCCTTATGTCCTATATAAATGGCGTGGTGCCCCCTTATGTCCTATATAAATGGCGTGGTGCCCCCTTATGTCCTATATAAATGGCGGGGAATCCCCCTTATGTCCTATATAAATGGCGTGGTGCCCCCTTATGTCTTATATAAATGGCGTGGTGTCCCCTTATGTCCTATATAAATGGCGGGGAATCCCCCTTATGTCCTATATAAATGGCGGGGTATCCCCCTTATGTCCTATATAAATGGCGGGGTATCCCCCTTATGTCCTATATAAATGGCGGGGTATCCCCCTTATGTCCTATATAAATGGCGGGGTATCCCCCTTATGTCCTATATAAATGGCGGGGTATCCCCCTTATGTCCTATATAAATGGCTTGGTGCCCCCTTATGTCCTATATAACTGGCAGGGTATCCCCTTATGTCCTATATAACTGGCGGGCATCCCCCTTATGTCCTGTATAAATGTCGGGGCATCCCTCTTATGCATTTTATAAATGGCGGGTATCCCTTTATGTCCTATATAAATGGCGTGGTGCCCCCTTATGTCCTATATAAATGGCGTGGTGCCCCCTTATGTCCTATATAAATGGGGGAGATTTTTCCCCAAAACTCTCGTTGGTCGTCCGGAGGTCTCGGTTGGAAATCGCAATGCCCCAGATATTTGTTTGTTGTTGTTGTTGACTTTGGTTGCCAGGTAGAACCAGCCTATGATGGCTACCAGGTCGTGTTCTGGAAATTCAAAGCGCCGGCTTGATATGACCATATCATCCACCGAATGCCGATTTTCCTATCGAAATATGAGTCTAGTGGCATATGCCAAATATTTCACTGGCGTTAACAATTACTTTAGCTTGTAAACGCTATTTTTCCTGAAATCTGGCACTGAAACTCCCGAAATTCCAGACTGCCAGCTATTGTACAACTTCAAGTTCATTCCTTTTTCTGTTTGCGTCATCTGCTTATATGGGTGTTGATCAATACTAGGCAATAGGCTTTCATTTATTTTGTCCCAACAGGGACCCCCTAAAGTCTTTGGTTTGAAATCGCACGGAGGCAGAATGTTGACCTGGCCGCCAGACCGATCCAGTCATATAAACTGATACCAGAAAAAGCCGGGGTTAAATCACACATAGCCGTCCCCATTAGATTACAGGTTACCTGGTAACTTTTTGTGGTGCCCCCAATATAACTGTGCTACACAGCTGTAATATTGAACGGGGTTTCTACGATATACAGTTCTCATCATTGTGATATCTAAAGACTGCAATCGTGTAATGGTAGAAATTTAAAAGAAATGTTATGGTTATAAATGTGGCCAGCATAATGTTGTTTATTCCTATAGTATTACACTTCATTGCTTCCATTATAGACCCCAGTAACACACGTGCGGCAAAGGTATAAATAAACTTTAAATGTGTGCCTGTATCCCCTCCTTGCCTAGCTCATCATCGCCTAAGGGTTGTCAACTTCAAACTGACCCTGATCACTCCACATCTCACTTCCTGGTACAAATTTAAGGCTGGGTTAAAAAGCTCATGCCTTTTTTTTATTTTTTTATCCACCTCCATATAGATTCGAACCCAAGATGTTAGGGCGGCAGACAGACCTGTAGCCAAGGCGCTAAATCGGCTCTCAGTATGAGAACTAATTAACAATAACTCTTTAAGCCCAAAGCAAGTGTTATTGCATGCATGTTAAACCTGGAAAGTTGTCAGACAGGCTTAAAAAAAAAAACATTTACTTTCCTCAGAGATGTGGTTTCTGAGAAACATGCGAACAATATTATGAAAGAATAGAGATACAAAAACAAATCAGTTCTCATACAGACAGGTGAAAGTAGTAATCAGAAGAATTAGACCTAAACGGTCATTGTGTTTGGACATAAAATGAGAAGGAATGAACTCGGCAACTTGGTAAAAACTGGCAAGATTAATTAAAAGAGAGCCATCTGAAGGCAAAGAGATAAATTCCTGGAATGTCTGGTCAGATGGGCGGGATAAGACCCAAAATTGTAACTGATCCGTGATTTTGGGGATCGCGTGAGATGGCAAACACAATAGCCACCCTTACCGGCACATGATGCTGATGACGACAATGTGTTAAGTTAACCCCTTCCATCTCAAGGAGACGAGCTTAAAAGAAGTAACAGCTTTGTTAAGATAAAGTTCGAAAGATACATCACGAAGTAGAACTGATTAAACTAATAATTCAGAATAATAACAAAAGGTTATATATAACACTCTAAAGGCAAAAGAAAAAGTTCACAAAAACTAACCTTTAAAAAAAGCATTGAAATCAAACAATTCGAAAATGTATAGAAAAAAATATTTCACAAAATAATTATGTTCCTAAAACCTAACCTTTAAAAAGCATTGAAATCAAGCTATTCTAAAATGTTTAGGAACAAATATATATTACAAAAATAAATTATGTTCCTAAAACCAGAAGAACAAATGTACCACGTATATGGTTATCTGTTTATAAGAAAAATCTCCACAAAACTAGCGAGCCCAAATATAACCTTGTTTGAGGTTTAAAATGGTCATCTGTATATGAAAACAATAACATTTGTTTGCATTGCAAGAAAGCAAGGGCTTCAGATGGTGATGATGATGATGACGTTCAACCCATCAGGACGTCACACCGAGCGATAATCACCCGGTGAGACAACATGCCACCATTCGGATGAGGACCATGAGGGAACAGGTTCCAAAAACCCCGTTTAACCCATAGTTTGTGTTATATTCGAGGTCCCCGGTAATAGCCATGGTGGGGGCTTCAACATAACGAAACCTTGCCTTCCATAAGGTGACGGAATATTGGTTATGAATTAGTCGCCCAGAGACGTACGGTCAGATATTTGATACGGAAAGAGTTAGAAATAAAAATGCGTGCCATGGTTTGTTTCGTTTTATCAAATAATTAAGCATAATGACAACTCACCTTTGTCTTTGCTGATGGCCTCGCCCTTGGAGATGACGCTCTCTGTACCGCTGGCCAGCCTTCGCTTCTCTGGGGACACAAGCAAACAGTAGGTATCAACAGTGACACATATTTATTTCATCAAATTGGGGAGTTCTTTCCTTCTTAAATTCGATTCCATTCGATTATGAGCGTGCACTGTATTCAATATATTGTCCCCTCTATCTGCGATACATGGGCATGCACACAATAGTCAACCACTGCGTCTCCGTAAAAATCCGGCGGCAGCCATTACTTTTAATCTAGTTTCGCCCTTTTTAGGACGAAATTTTTTGTCATTTGAGGCCCTACTCTGGCTTTCGCCAGGGGCCGCAATATAGGCAGGCCATACATATGGCCGAGTGTCTGAACGCGGTTTCTGGGACCTCTCCACGGCGATCCTCATCCGCATGGTGACACTTTGTGTCATCGGGTGTTTATCGCTTGTGTGATGTCCTGGTGGGGTAGAAAGTCAGTCAGTCAGTCAGTCTCCGTAAAAGTAATTTCATAAAAATGATTATGATGTAGTTTTCATTATTAAATTGTTATTATTATTAACTTATGAGATGGCTACCGAAATTAGGTTTAAGGTTTATCTAGTATAGAAGTATTAAGAAAGAATAGAAGAGAGAGAGAAACCTCGTTAAGTGACTGTTGTGATTTAGCGGGAAAACTGGGCATGCAACAGCTCTGCAGTGCCTGTGCACGTGCCGCCACTGGTGTAGAATGAATAACAAATATTTTCTTAAAGTTAACAACCCCTTAACGCCTGTGGATCTACGTGTGATGCTAGACTAGTAAGTAGTTCATGGACCAGTGATTTTCAGCTAAGGTAAATCAGGGGCAACAATGTTGAAAGTGGGGATGGTCATAGTCGAAAGGCCCTATCCCTAGCGTCGACAGATCGTTAAGACAGCTGACAATGATCCAAAGACCACTTACTAGGCCTCTGCGGGCTAGATTCAGGCCCGCGTGCGGCCATTTGAACAGTCCAGTTATAGATCAGTCAGCATTCAGTGGGTAATGTGGTCAACATCAGTCGGCCACATTTGCTTCCTAAGACATTACCTGGAACCCATTTAGGCTGGGTCGACCTGAGAGCTAAGGTCATTTCTTCGCAGTAATCCATCATGATACGGATTCAAACCCAAGATCCTCGGACCGATAAGCGAACGTCTAGCCACTTTACCACCACGGTTACCACTATCCCCTGGGTTTAAGCTGTAACCCTTTTATGTGTAGCAAACTGCCAGCGATCAAATCCCTAACATACCACGGCTCAAACGCAATATTCTAACATAGTAAAAGTAGGGGAGGAAGGGGAGAGAGAGAGAGAGGGAGAGAGAGATAGAGAGAGAGAGAGAGAGAGAGAGAGAGAGAGGGGGGCAGAAAAAAGAGATAGGAGAAAAGGTCTCATTTCAGGATCTGTGGTTAAGGCGTTGCGAGCATGCTTCTCCCAATGCCGAGGTGTGGGGTTCGATTCCAACAGCTTTCGATTTGACAGCAGGCCGCATTGCGTTGGTTTCGGCAGTGGTATCGAGAACTGACCGTTCAGGGCAGTGTCAAACATCTTCTTTTATATTCTGCCTCTCTAGCGTCCAGAGCAGCATAGGCTCTCAACCAAATCATGCCATGTCGCTATATCCCTCGCTATCGCATGCAACTCTCGCCATTTCCACCCTTTTTTAACCTTAATCTCTAGCTCCCTTCTTTATTTTTTTTGGGGGGGGGGGGAGGGTGGATGCTTCCTTTATTTCTTTTCCCCTGTGGGTTTCAGGGCAAACACATTCTAGTTATATTTATCTCAGGTTTTCTCAAAGTTGTCCTATCTAACGCCAGCGTCAAATTACTGAAAGCAAAATTTCCCAGTGAACTCAGGAACATCCACAAAATACTTGGGGTGGTTTTGCAAGGACTTTTAACGGACACGTAACTAACTAGTGTGTTGCTGGTCTGGTGTTGATCTCCTACCTTCAGCTCTAATATCCCAGGAAGTCGGAAGTACACTATCCATTGTCCTCCAGACCCTGACCTACCTTGGCGGACCACATTTGTGACAACAACCGTGTGCTGTAATCGGAGCCCCTTGACTGCAGGAACTAAATCCACGACACGGTATGTACACGAGAGATTTTGCGATTTACTAGTTCAATATTTGATGTCAACGTCCGCTAGTTGTTGGCCACCATTGAGCGGGGGTGCCGGGGAGTGCAGCAGAGGTTTTGCTGGCGCCTATGTCTACTAGAGTGGGTGTTTTGGTTGTTTGTAGAGCGTTTGTATGACTACAAACATGTTTGTACATTATAGTCTGTCGCTGAAGCCAGGTTGGCTTTGACTTGTTCAATGGTGTCGCGTTGAGGGTGGATGTAAGAAGAGTTATCCTAGTGGATTAAATACAGTCTCATCTGATTTTAGTCAGTTAAGTTAGTTGACCCATCGTCCTCGAACACTGGACAATACCATAAGCGCCCTGATCCCAGCGTCAGTATCTCCATCAGCGTGTGGCGACTAACAACACGAGTTCTGCTCTAGTTTACTACTCTTCTTTGGCCTATCAGATTATTGTCATGGTTCTAATTTATCAAAAATTATGATTTGGGGGAGAGGCAGAAAAAAAAAGGGGGGGGGGGGGGAATCGACGGAACCTCCAGGATCCGCCTAAAAAAATAGGACTGTCCAGTGACATATGATCTCCTTACCCGTAGACAGACAATCTGGCAGGCAATAAGGCAGACATGCAGATAGATGGGCAGGCAGACAGACAGGCGGACGGATTAGACAGTAAACATGAGAGAATTTAGTCGAGCTGAAATCAAGATTTACCAAATACAACAGAAACTATGACTGGAAAGCTCAACAGAATGAATGGAACAGACGATCGCAAATACAACCGGCAATAGACCGGCAGACATGTAGCTTTCGTACCACAAAGCTATTATAGCCCGTTCCAAAAGTCGTGCCAAATTTTACAAATCTGTAACTTAGTAACCGTTGGCTGTAATTTATTTTTTTAATTTGGCGTGCAACCTGTTAATAATCATGCCCATGTAATATTTTTTTTTTAATGTGCAAGCAAACATCTAGTTTACTTTTTTTGCATTATTTGCGCTAAATTAAAAACAAACGCAGATTCAAAGCACTCATGATTACAGTAAACTGAATAAGGGGAACTTTTCAAAGCATAAAACTGTACGCGTGTCATAGACGTTTCATTCTCAAGTCCTCAGAGCATAAATCTCCTGTGAGTTGCGGATTTTTCATTGAGTGGGGAAAAGGTTATCAAAATAAGCACCATACATCGCTGCACGTGTGAACTGTTTTCCAAACAATCTCCACATGTGTGTCAATTAATTTATATTGCACTTTAAGGGGTTCACAAATTATTAGTCAAACAAAAGTCACCGAAATTCACCCCTTAAAAACAAAAAATAGCAGCACCGCATGGACATGGGAAATCTGGGGCCACATGCAACATCCCAGGTCGACCCAGCCTTGAGTGGGTACCGGGAAAGTAAAGGCGGCCGGCGTGATGCTGACCACATCACCCATCTTGTGCCGGTTGGTCTATAAAAATATAGGTCTAGCCCTATATGCCCTATACGCCTAAAGACGTGGAAAAGGGTCCTTTACTTTACTTTATTTACATGCAACAGCTAATGTTGATTAGTACATGAGCTTTCTAATTATTGGTTAAACTATGAGTGCACGAGTTCTGAAACGCACTATAGTAAATACTTGCTTTATATTTTCCACTGTTACATTCCGTATGTGACACTACCAGAGAATCCCACACACAAAGCTAGCAGCCACTACCCATGCTGTATGTTGTAGGCGTGGCCACTTACTTAAATATTCATAAAATAGCTGATCTATGATAAATGTCCCCCATATGTTTGTAGGCTTCTCATTTGACTCACGCTCGGTTAACATACTACACATGTGACCTTTGCTGCTATGTACACGGCTGGCTGCGTTTGCAGTCGATATTCCATGGTTGTAGGTACAGATGCATTTTAGACCTAACGGCGACACTTTTTATAGCGTCAGTAAAACTAGTGTGGATGTTTCTGTTGTGAGCGAGGTGTGGATGTTTCTGTTGTGAGCGAGGTGTGGATGTTTCTGTTGTGGGCGAGGTGTGGATGATTCTGTTGTGGGCGAGGTGTGGATGTTTCTGTTGTGAGCGAGGTGTGGATGTTTCTGTTGTGAGCGAGATGTGGATGTGTCTGTTGTGGGCGAGGTGTGGATATGTCTGTTGTGGGCGAGGTGTGGATGTGTCTGTTGTGGGCGAGGTGTGGATGTGTCTGTTGTGGGCGAGGTGTGGATGTGTCTGTTGTGGGCGAGGTGTGGATGTGTCTGTTGTGAGCGAGGTGTGGATGTGTCTGTTGTGGGCGAGGTGTGGATGTGTCTGTTGTGAGCGAGGTGTGGATGTGTCTGTTGTGGGCGAGGTGTGGATGTTTCGGTTGTGAGCGAGATGTGGATGTGTCTGTTGTGAGCGAGGTGTGGATGTTTCTGTTGTGGGCGAGGTGTGGATGTTTCTGTTGTGAGCGAGGTTTGGATGTTTCTGTTGTGGGCGAGGTGTGGATGTTTCTGTTGTGGGCGAGGTGTGGATGTTTCTGTTGTGGGCGAGGTGTGGGTGTTTCTGTTGTGAGCGAGGTGTGGATGTTTTTGTTGTGAGCGAGGTGTGGATGTTTCTGTTGTGAGGGAGATGTGGATGTGTCTGTTGTGAGCGAGGTGTGGATGTTTCTGTTGTGAGCGAGGTGTGGATGTTTCTGTTGTGGGCGAGGTGTGGATGTTTCTGTTGTGGGCGAGGTGTGGATGTTTCTGTTGTGAGCGAGGTGTGGATGTGTCTGTTGTGGGCGAGGTGTGGATGTTTCTGTTGTGGGCGAGGTGTGGATGTTTCTGTTGTGAGCGAGGTGTGGATGTTTCTGTTGTGGGCGAGGTGTGGATGTTTCTGTTGTGGGCGAGGTGTGGATGTTTCTGTTGTGAGCGAGGTGTTGATGTTTCTGTTGTGAGCGAAATGTGGATGTGTCTGTTGTGGGCGAGGTATGGAT